CACACACACACACACACACACACACACACACACACACACACACACACTCACACACACACACACACACATTTCATTAATTTTCTTCAAATAATTATATTTTACATTTTTATTTTGTTTTTCGGATATTTAATTATAAAAATATTATATATAAAAATATTTTACATTTGTATAAAAAAACAAAAAATCCTTAATATTCTTGTAAAGTCTATTTGGGAAGAGCGGGGTCTCCTGACACAGGTATTTATATACTTGAAAGAAGTACCCTTGCCACTAATCTGCTTTGTATTTTTTTCGTTAAAGAATAAACATTTTTGTATGTGTATTTGACTATACTCCGCATATTTAGCCTTTGTACGACACAAAGCGATAACAACTCTTGCTACAATTTTCTTTATTGTTAAATAGATGTACCCCCTCAACCTCATCTGATGTTCAACGACCTTATGAAGACGCGTTTGCTTAAAAAATATTTTTCTGCTGCTGTACCTAAACCTGACAATTATAATTTCATAAACCATATCACAAAGGCGTTCTTCTTAATTCTGAACCAAAATTCTATTTAGGAAATGAAACTATTTTTAGGACTTAAGTCGTGTATATTTGTTTTTTCAAACAAACCAACGTTTCGGGCTCTTTACAGGTCACGGTTGACATGGTCAACAGTGACCATGGGTGCCCAGCAGTGGTGGGGTTGCTAATGGTTCGACCTTTTGAGATTATTTCCACAAAAAAAAAAAATTAATTCATGGCACTAAAAACATCATATTATTTAAATTTTTATTGAATTGATATTCAATTATTTTATGTGGAATTACTCCACTATAATAGTTTGTTATAATTATTAATACAAAGATCGAACACTCAGAAAAAAATCCTTCGATCCTGCCGGATTCGAACCGACATCTTCTAGCATACCGTGTCAGACGCTATGCTAACTAAGCCACGGAACTAACCAGCGGACCTCACGAATTTTTCTATGTGCTTGCGTCGTATCTTTGTATTTGGTTTTTTAACGACATTTCCGTAGCTTAGCCGTAGCGCCATCTATGAGAAATCTATGAAAGTATTTCGTCACCCAGTTAGATACTGTACAGCTACCAAAGGCTGAACTTACGAGCACATGGGACTTGTCAACTTATGTCTCAGGGTCATGGGTGCAGTGGCAGAGTCCCTCAGATATTTGCGATTTAAAGTTCCTAGTGTCACTGCAACTGCTCTGGATAGGCGTGTCGCTCACCACCAGACGCACGAGCTGTTCGTCCTGTCACTTGGTATATTAAAAAAGGCACTCAGAATGATATCAAATTACTATATGGCTGTCTAAATTTGTTTTTTTAATAGTATCGTACTTTCTAAAAGTACAGGTCCAGTTGTTAGCCAATTTGGAATTAAATAATAAATAATTGTACTTGACAATAAGAGCGTTGCTGATTGCAGACACGATTGCTTCTCAATTAAGAGGCCTACGTTTCGAGTCCCTTGTCAAATTATGTATTTTTGTAAATATTTAATAGCAATTACCTGTCACTAAATGGTCAAGATAACATTATGATGATACGGTTTATCCAAAAAGGTTTTATTAACTTCGGAAACTGTGTGAAGTCCATCCAAATCCAACAGTGGGTTTGTATAGAATTATGATGATCTGAGAATCACTTCCCATTCCGTCGTCGTGCTCGTTCGTTCCGTTCCTTGGTTTCATAAAAAAAAATATTCAATTATATTCAATAATCTTTGCTTTTCAGACGTATCATAGACAGACTCTGTTCTCTAATAGAAACACAAGGCCCAGACGTCTGGTGGACTTGTGACGTCACGGAATTGCTGTCTGATGACGTCGCGAAAGAACACCGATTGGGCAGCAAGGAAATTACTAAAGGGAGGGTAAGAGACAATAACATGGTAATAATAGCCAAACAATCACACCAATTACCAGTCTGCTAATTTCTTTAAAACTTCTGGTCATTTTAATTCCATTGAGACTCCACTGAGGTTATATTGCATTTATGATAATATTTATTATTCTGTTAAAATCTAGTTGCAATGGCAGTTGAGCAGTGAGGGCATTAATTCATTCAATCAAACTCAAAGGACTCCAGTTTAAGAATCTATACCTTATATCTTTTAGACTCTATACAACCCCAAAGAGCGTTGGTTGATTCCTCATTACAGTGAAAGTGTTGAATCTATCACTTCAGAAAAAATATAAATAATATGTCCTCAATTTTACGCTAACGACTATACGGTATGAAAACACGAACAAAAACACAAACTTACCTCGAAATTTTATAAGAAAACCGCTGTGTTCAATATGTACTTTACACATACCAATAATTTTTTTTTTATATGAACTGAACTAAATAGAACACGTATGTATAATATACGATATACATTTTTCAAATGGCTGTAATTTCGCTTGTGAAAAAATAAATACTGAAATAAAGCCAGTGTCCAAGCAAAATGAACCGTATTAGTACGGGAAAAAATTAAATTCGAGCCGAGGTAGTATTAATTTCTATCTCGATCTCGTTTAAACAGCAATTTAGTCTTCAAATTACATGTGTCGGAGTATAATAACCATACTGGGAGAAGTTGAGGGAAACTCCTCGTCACTCATTTGACGTAGTTAAACAAAAAGGATCCAATTCACAAAATGATCAAAAAATGAGTTATATGGACCAAACGGTTCCTAAAGTCTAACCTCTAGGATCAGCAAAAAAAAATTCAACATATAAACATAAATAAATATCTCTGGAGTTACATGACATTACAAGTTTTGAAAGTAAAACAAGATTGAGAAAAACTTTTAAACTTCAAACTGCTACATCTCGAAAGTGGATTGTATGTGGATTGGATCCTTTTTGTTTAACTACGTCCAGTTGTGTCAGGAATTATTTAGTAATTGGTCTATATTGGATAAACGCAAAAGTAAAAGAAATCACTCCGGAAAGATTAAGTTTTTTTAATAATATGGAGGTACTTATACAAAACGGAATTCCCAATTTCTAGGATATAATGGATATTTGGCTAGATTCCGGCCTGTCCTGGCAGACGCTGAGCTGTCAAAAAGCCAAGCTGTATTCCGAGGGCATTGACCAACTGACAGGATGGTTCCAAGCGTCGTTGCTAACTTCCATCGCATTGAGGAACGAAGCGCCTTATGAGTAAGTATTGGTGGAGTTGTCCACCGCCAGATATATCATCAGCTGTTCAAAACTTGATGTCTGTGTGAGCACGTGGATTTGGATCTGATAGACATCTCGTACGGCATATAACCAAGATTTCTTTTATGATACTAAACGAAGCTGATGATAAGCGACATGGAAGAAAAAAAACTATGGAAGTGCCTTAAACCACGATTACTATCAGAACCGATGTCGCCAAAACTTAAAACACTACAAAATCTTGATATTGATTGCTCGTAGTTTCAAATTTAAAAATAAATAACAAATTCTGGATTGTTAATATAATTTAAACTTTGCCCTGTTGGCATATCGTTCAATGATCAATACCATCAGTACCTATTATTGTAAGTTACGACGTTTTGATATTGTTTTGAAATTTCAATCAATGTACTGCCATCTAGCGGTTAATTGCTGAACCACAACGAATTAGAGTTATTAATTTTGTTCTCCAAAAAAGAAGCGACCATATTGCAGGGATATGAGCTTTACTTTCGTTTCTTGTAACAAAAAAAAAAAATATTGCGATAAACAGAAAATTTAAAATTTGGTATAATTATTAAAACAAAGATCGAACACTCAGAAAAAAATCCTTTGATCGATCGATTCGAACCGACGTCTTCTAGCTTACCGTGCCAGACGTTGCTTAGTTGGTATAGCGTCTGGCCGAATCCGGCCGTATCGAAGGAATTTCTACTGAGTGTTCGATCTTTGTATTAATAATTATAACAAACTAGTGGAATAATTTCACAAAAAATAACTGAATATCAATTCAATAAAAATTTAAAATTTATTAAAATAAGACTTTCTGGTGGTATGTAATACCACCACGGGTAATATTTTTGGTGCGGCTATTATTTTTGTACTCCAAAGCAGCACAATAAGAATTTTAGAAAATTTGCACGAAAGAATGACACAACCATACCATACCAAGCGAAAATGGCGGACTGAGCTCAGATAGGTCTCTCGAGACCTATAGTTGGAACGCGTCCGACGCTAACTAACCACTTCTACTGTATTTATTGTTCTTTGGTAAGCGACATGCCTGTCCATAAGACTTGCAGTGCCACTAAGAGTTTTAAATCTCAAAGTTCTGAGAGGCAGTGCCACTACGCCCGTCACCCTGAGACGTAAGTTGCAAAGTCCCATGTGCCTGTAATTTCACTTTTTTACCCCTCAAAACCGGAACATAGTAATGCTGACATTACTGCTTGGCGGTAGAAATAGGTGAAGTATTGTGGTGAGAGTACAAAGTCAACATCTGTCAACTTTCACTGTCAATCTTCACGAAGGATAAGGTTTAGCCGAAGCGTGTCATGTACCGACTATTCCGAGGCCGGCTACCGGATACCCACGTTGCGTCACACGTTGCAGACAATAAGTGTAAATAATGGTCATCTAATGTTTTTTGTATTTTGTCTTTAAGGTATGTATTTATGGGTCTTTGTAACCTGAATATAAATAAATAAACGAAAAAAAAGTACTTGGTAGGTACTTGACGTAACGGGTGGAGCAAGTCGACACAAGTCGACGTCAACGCGCTTATTTTGAGTAAAAAAAAGTGTTTCTTAGAAATTATTATTGTCTCAAAAAAGAATAATAGTCTTGTATTTCTATAGAATATATTAAAAACATACATGAGACAACCTCACCTGTGTATAACCAGAAACAGAGACGAAATAAAGGGTCATACATTCCTGGTAACTCATCAGTGATACATCACTTATAAATATCAACTCTAGTTTGCACTGAAATGTAGACAGCGCTAACAACTGACCTGTCTGTACGTCTCCGTATATTCCAAAAATATGTATTTATTGTAATAACGATAATATCTCTAACAATGGCGTGCTGTTCCATTCAGCAAAACGTCTAATTACAAAACAAACGGAATCAAATATCATCGGTAATTAAATATTAAATATGTAATTTTGCCATTTTCGTCCATTATAGCAAAGCTCAAGTTAACTGGTCAATTTAAAGTGAAACAATTGACGACATCCATTGACGACACCCGTCAATTGTTTCGAATTCGGGCTGGCCAATCGGAGCTCAGTTGTCACAGTAATATACGGCAGAATAGTTTTCAAACAAATGAAATGACATTTCGTCTCTATTTTTGGTTATTATTTATGGTTATATATTTAGTAAAAATAAATAGTAAAAAATCTTTTTTTACGCATTGATTTGAGTATGCTATGTATATCACGATATTTCGTGATATACATAGCATACTCATTAGTAGTCTAAGAAAACTTTCATATTTTAAGTAAATTAACCCCTTCAATTCCAATCACTACTAATGAAATAAATCGATGCTGGATCAATACAGAATATAATGATTAATTTTATAAACATTTCCATGGTAACAATTCTTATACTACAACCTATTATTCCAGGTCGTTATTTGTGCATGGTTTCGTAGTAGATGACAAGAAGCGCAAGATGTCGAAGTCCATCGGCAACGTGATCGACCCTTTCACCATAATTCACGGGGGCAAAGATAAGAACAGCCAGCCTAGTTATGGTGTTGATACTTTGCGGTAAGTTGTCAATATTTCTTCTTATATAGCTGAACAGATGTCCACCATACGTCTAATAACATCCCTGATTCAATTATAATAATAAATAAATTTAGTGGCTATTGCCACTTGCCATTGCAGCTTCTTGTGAAAGCTATCTCAGCATTACTGTGTACCGGTTTTGAAGGGTACGGGTGCTGGTGAAGTTACAGGCACGTGGAACTCGTCAACTAAGCCCCTCAGATCTTTGCGATTTAAAGCTCTGAGTGGCACTGCAACTGTTATGGATAAGCCTGTAGTTTACCACCAGGCGCACGACTTGTTCATCTCGTCACTTGATATTTTTTAAAAAACTCCCACATTCATAGCCCCGTACTAAGGTTAACCATGTATCGCGGGTGCTATAGACACACACATAGACAACCACAAATCACACCCAAACAAACTCACGAGAGCAACAAATCTGCCGTCCACTAACTAAAATCCGTCCGCTAACTAAGCGGCTAAGTGACAAAATTATTTTTTGAGATATCATAAAAAACCATATAATTAACCCAGTTTTAGAATATTGAAATTGTTTAATAATAATTAAATTTTTATTGAATTGATATTCAATTATTTTTTGTGAAATTACTCCACTAGTTTGTTATAATTATTAATACAAAGATCGAACACTCAGAAAAAACACTCAGAAAAAATTCCTTCGGTCCGGTCGGATTCGAACCGACGTCTTCTTGCATACTGTGCCAGACGCTATACCAACTAAGCCACGGAACGAACCAACGGACCTCACGAATTTTTCTATGTGCTTGCGTCGTGTCTTTGTACTTGGTCTTTCAACGACTTTTTAGTCGTAGCGCCATCTATGAGAAATCTTTGACAGATTTATTACCCAGTTAGTACTAAATTTAATAATATTTCAGGTATGCATCGTTAGGATAAGTTCCGATATGTCGAACATGTTAACTAATTTTAGCTGTTTTTAAAAGAGAATTTCGTACTCTGTCTTTGATTTGACCATTTGTCACTTAGCCTTTTAGTTAGCGGGCGGCAAAGATGTAGATCGTACAAGTATTCCTCGCGGCCCGGCAATCGAGCCCGGGACCTATGCGTGGCAAACCAGTGTGGTTACCACATTCACCATTCGGTCACGGGGGCAGTTAAAATTAACCATCAAATAAAAAGAAAACCCATTAAGATTTGATGTGTTTAGACAGACATATCGACATACACATGGGTACAGATCTAAGCGCGTTCAAAATTTGCTTGTTGGATGTATTCAACACAAGACACACGTTTGCGCGCAAGGTACGCCCTTGAACGCACCACGATTCCGAATTTGCGGCCTTACTACTCTCTTTTTGCGTCGGGGGTTAATAATAACTTGCCTAGACAAACGGCAGAGTTGCCAGAGTTGACAGGATACCCGTCATTTATCACAGGGACTTTCTGTTCCAACAGCTGACAGCTCCATAGCATATATAGGAATGTCGCTGCCCGCTAGGAGCCTAGGTTTTACAAAAAGCACAATACTCGCGGGTATTTGTCTCCATGTTTTTAATAGTATCCCGTCTGTCAACAATGACCTTGAATAGTGGTGGTCCTGTAAAAAAATGTCGATATCTTTTCCAATGTGATATATGGAAATGTTGTATCGATATTTTGCGATATATCGGTACAAAATATCGATATTTTCGATATATCGTAAATAATTCTAAAAGACAAAAGGAAGGAAATTTTACTAACAGTAAATAAGTAAAACCATCAGTTTTGACGCAATAATCAAACGTATTTCTTATTCTTATATTCTCATTGGCTAGCCGCACACAAACAATATTATTGACAATCCAAGTTTATGTATGTTCCCAACACAGCAATATCGTCCGCACACAAGCAATGTTATTGTCAATATGTGTGCGTCTAGCGAATGAGAATATAACCACTACGTTACACTGACCGATGACCAGTGAATCAGCGCTCGAAGTGCATTTAGTTTCTGCAAATACAATTTTGAATTGTGTACTTTCAACTTTGTACGATTTTTCATGTATCGGATAAAATATATCGATAGTACATATCGATACCGAATGATACGATAATATCTGATTGATTCGATATATCGAGAGCATATATCGATATATATCGAGCACTCCTAACCTTGAATGAGTGAATGATTCACAAAAAATCTTTGTTCACAGATGGTGGGTGGCCAGTCACGCAACTCAACATTCACAAATAATAATAAGCAGAAAACTCCTCGACGATTGCCAGCAAGAAATAATTCGCATACGCAATATTCTAAAATACCTTCTTAGCGTCGTTAGTGATGTGCCAAAAACCGATTTTCACAAAACACCGGTTTTAAATTTCCTCGACCAATATATGGTTCGTGAAAATGAAGAGTTTTTAAAGCAAATAAATGACCATTATAACAATTTTAGGTACAATCATGTGGCTCAGAGTATTTTGCATTTTATTAGTAATAAAGTTTCCGGTTTATACTGCCACTGTGTCAAAGATAGGTTATATTGTTCGGGAAAAAATTCTAACGATAGATTGTCATCGCAATTAGTCATTCATACGATTTTAGTTACTCTGTGTAAGGCACTAGGTCCAATTTTACCTCATTTGGTCGAAGAAGCGTGGTTGTACCACCCATTGTATGAAGAACCGTTTTATTTTACACAAAAATTACCGGTTTTGTATTCAAATTTAGATTTCGATTCTAATATTATGGATATAGTTTTGAATATCAAAAAAGATGTTTGTGCTTTAGCGAAAAATGAGAACTTAAAGAAATTCACGGCCCAAATTAAACTTAATAATTATTCGCTTGAAAAATTAAAAGAACTAAATATTCAAGATGGCGTCGGCGATAGTGTATTGTGTGAGATTTTGGAGTTGTCATCCGTCACGATAGATAGTTTGACAGCTGTCAACAGTGGAGAGAAATGGGAGGTAGAGCTGACAGAAAGCGGTAAAGGACAATGCCTTAGATGTAGAAAGTATAATGCTGTTGAGAATAGTGATAAATGTTTAAGATGTGAAAGAGTTTTAGTTGAGCAACAAAATTAGTTTTATTATGTTAATTTTGTTCATTATAATAATGTTTTTACTAACATCATATTCATATATTTTTAGTGAAAATGGTTCACTACTTTGCTGTTTTTATTGATACAAAAATTGAACAACAGAAAGGAAAAATTCCTTCGATCTGACTGCCAGGAGAGTGAAACTATTGAGCCCGATTAACGCACGTACGAATATTGGTTTGAAAAATATCATTTAACATATCACCACTCGGACATCTCCAGTCCGCTGCTGGTAGCTATAAAGGTATCTGACTGATTGAAGAAATGGATTTCTCACAGATGGCGTTACGCCAAAAAAGTCATTATAAAAGCATAGATCTGCAACAAGCACATAGTTCGTTCCGTAGCTAAGTTTGAAACGCGCTGCTGGCGCTGGTGGCGTGTCCTGTTGATTGTAATGTAGCCTGGAGAGTATAGTAGCCTCTTTAGCCTCCGCAGCTTCCACAAATCTTGCTTAGCGACTTTAAAGTTCAAAATTCAAAAGGAAAAAGAAATAAAGATTCTTCCATGTGTTGCAGAACTTTTGTTTTTAACGATTTTTTGCCGTAGCGCCATCTGTGAGAAATCTATGATAGTTTTTCTTTACTCAGGGAGGTACCTTTACAGCTACCAGCAATGTACCCTGGAGAGTGTAGTAGCCTCCGCAGTTTGAGTTTAAAGTTCAAAATTCAAAAGGAAAAAGAAATAATGGAAATAAATCCAGTCTTTTGTGATCTTTTAATGTTTATCACACAAGAGATTTTTGGTAAAAGGATCTAAATTAGACGCAATTAAGAATTACAGCTGAACTGTTTGGGCGTGACAGTGGAACGAAACAAAAAGAGGCCAAGGAATTAAAGAACGATTCAAAATTTGAAAAAAAGTGGCCAGGTACCAGATAAAAGGTGATAAAAAGGTGGGATGAATATGTAAGGAGATCACATCGTCAGAATTTGGTATAGCGTCTGACACGGTTTGCTAGAAGACGTTGGTTCGAATGCAGCCGGATCGAAGCAATTTTTTCTAAGTGTTCGATCTTTGAATTAATAATTATAGCAAATTAGTGGAGTACTTTCACAAAACTGGTGAAACAGCCTGGCATTCAAACTTAATTACAAATGTAATTTAAGTTCAAACAAATACATTTAATTATACATTTTAATGAATATTATGATGTTTTACTAAAGTCTGTTCCAATCCATTTTCAACAAAAAGTAAACAAAACTGTTTGGTGAAAATCTAAAGCAATCATTCAATAAATGGAATAAGTAACGCTTTCACGTATATTTCGAAGATTTCGATACTTTTTCCAACAATATTTGTTTGAATAGCATCGTAAAATTGTTTTTGAAAAATGGTAGTAAGGTTATTTTTCATCTATACATCAATGACTTGTCTATGGTTGTATACAACGAACGAATGTTTTTTGTATACAGCACTATAGTGCTGTATACAAAAAACATTCGGTTCATTCAATTAAAGTTTT